CCCTTTTTGGCCCCGCCCCTCAGCCCCCTGGGGGGTCAGCCACACCATTTGTACAATTTTGAATCCCTGCATCCCATGAATGCTTTTGATTAAATATGATTGATATCCAGTGCATAGTTCTACAGAAGAAGTCGTTTATAGCAATCTAGCCAAATTGCCCCCTTTTTGGCCCCGCCCCTCAGTCCCCTGGGGGGTCAGCCCATCCATTTGTACAATTTTGAATCTCCACCACCTAGGGGTGCTTCCAGGCAAATATGGTTGATATCCATCTCTTAGTTCCAGAGAAGAAGTCGCTTAAAGCAATATAGCGAAATAACCCTTTTTGGCCCCGCCCCTCAGCCCCCTGGGGGGTCAGCCCCACCATTTGTACAATTTTGATTCCCCACCACCTAAGGATGCTTCCAGTCAAATTTAGTAAAATTCCAATCAGTGGTTAAGAAGAAGAAGTCGTTTAAAGAAATTGTTGACGGACGGACGACGGACGCCACGGTATGGCATAAGCTCACCTTGGTCCTTTGGTCGTATCGACCTTGGTCCTTTGGACCAGGTGAGCTAAAAAATCGATAAAACTTCAGAATAAATCGGACTACCTGGTTGCCAATGATCGTCCTAGTCCTGTTCTGCTACATTAGTGTTCACAGTTAAACCTAGAGCATCTACCTGGGTAAGATGACAATGACTGGTCAACCATTAACTTTCCTGTATAGTAATCAAAGGCAGGTTTACAGAATGGAAAGAGTCTGGATTTGAGTTCAGTTAGTTTAAAGAAGAATTTCCCAGAGACCAAAATATTTTGCTGATTAAGATAACAATCCGGATCGGACAGAGTCCATTTATGTTTACCAAATATCATCCAAATTAGTGCAGTACTTAGGGTCTACATAGTGTCTACAGACAGACAACCAGACTCCAGCATAGCACCCACCCTCATCCAATCCTCAATATCCAGGGGTTACACTCACAATCGCTCTCTGCACCCCTGGAATATGTCATACAAAATCGAAGGCTCAGTATGCGTGGTTGAGACAAGAAGACTAGTTTGATCCTTTGATGTACCTCAAAAGAATCTCCGGGTAGCGTAACAGTAAAATGTACTATCTTTAAAGTCGGGTGCCACTCCTTTGTAATCTTCAAAGAACAGGTATCGTATCGGCCTAATGAATGGTCAGGATTTTTTTTACCCGAGACCAATCAAGCAGCTATTTTCGTGCCTTCAATTTCGCTATAAAATATTCCAGGGGTATAGAGAGACGTAAGTGAGCATAACCCCTGGATATGGAGGATGCCCCCAAAAATCAAAATGTTACCAGAGTTTGGGAAAGAATTCCACTCCAGACACAACCTTTTTTGAAACAATGTCAGCCTTTATCAAACATAACCAATATTTGATGACCAGTATATCTCCTACAATCTCATTGGTGGATCATCATCATGTGGAGGTCGGTGATTTGTGATACTTACTCGTGTTACTATTTTTAGAAAAAGCAGGCCAATATTCACTTTACAGCGTCATTTCAATTGTAACGTCACAATGCTCGCCGACAAATACAGTACTTTTGGTCGTACATTATTTTACATTCCATCTTAATGATTAAAAGATTATTTAATATCTAACATAAAATTAAGGACTTTTATTTCAGTGAATGCACGAAAGTCTGTAATTGATAAATATGAGAAATAGCACTGTCATGATTGAATGTCTTTCAGCCTCTAGCACCGGACCTCCTCACAGCTTGTTGAAAGCAGCAATGTCTACACTTTGAACCTGCAAGAAACAAAAGTCAGGTTTAATATTTTGACATCAAAATCCAGTTGTTCTGTTTTAGCTCTCCTTAAATTCAGGGTCAAAGGTCAATATATAATTGTGCAAATTAAACGTCTTCTTCACAAAGAACATTTTTATACTTTTTTCGTTTTAGTGTGGAATAATGCTCTGAGCCCCATTTTCATGATACAGTAAAACCCTGATATAATGCCCCTTACTTTTTATATCAATGTCCCTTTTTCCTGTTTTCTTAAGATTTTCTTTATATATTTCCCTCAATGTATCATTGACAAACCTCCAAAATTCATCTGGACAAACGGAGGCAGTATAACAAGGGTTAACTGTATTGATAAGTTATTGCTCCAGCACAGTAGAATGGCCAGGCCAACGGGAATTGTCAATGTTCTCTTTTAACTTGAATAAAAACTTAAAATTCAGGATACTTAAAACAGAAGGTGACTTTGAATTTGAATGCATCAAAATTTCAATATCATTTAAAGAATATTCGTACCTGATCTTCAAAATTGTCTGTAATCTTCTCTATTAAGTCTTCTACAGACACTTTGTCATCCTCTATAACAATACTTATCTGCAGTTTCTTGATTCCGTACGCCATAGGAACTAGTTTAGCTGAAAGAAAGAATTTGAAAATGTTTCAAAAAAAGGTTTGATTTTAGAAACCTTCATACATATTTGTATGTAAACCATTGGTGTTCATACCGGCATGAGCATTGAAAATTGCTGTGCAATCCTTAAAATTACATTTTAAATTATGGTTATTACTGAGGTATTGATTTTAATATAGGCTTTCACATTGCCAATATTTAAGTGTTTGTATCATCAGTGCAAACAAGATTCCTGAAACAAACTATCATCACCAAAATGTTTGCTTCTTACAGTTGTCTCACATTAATCAAGGCAAGCGGAGAAGCTTCAAATTGATGCTGATCAAGTTGAATAAATAGCCCAACAAATGCATTTTCTTCTGGTTATATGCTTATAGAGGAACTTTGCAGTAGAATATAGATACAGATTTATCTTTCCTTACCTGCACACCATCGTAAACCATCCTGTGTTATAGTGCGTAACTTATCTTCTACTTCCTTCATATCAGTTTCATCATCATAAGGTTTTACATCCAAAATGACATTAGATTTTGCTATAAGTGCTGGTTCTACAAAACAAAACAGATACATAGTCAACTCAACACCAGACAATGGAGATCTTGTATTTTTCCTGATGAAATTATTCAGTTAAACCAGTATTTAATTCATTAGTCAGACAAGGTCATTATATGTATACATGTAATTTCAGAGGGATTGGAAAACAAGCTAATAGCTTATATTAATTCCTCTCACAAATTGGATATCGCTATGAACATAACAAGCAATTATTTTAACTTACTTTTGGCTTTTTTCTCATAGTAAGCTTTTACTCTTGCCTGTTTGATTTTTTCTTGCTTTTCTTTCTGTACAATAAAAAGAGAAATATTCATGAGACAATTAAATGTAAACTTTATTTATTTTGTATCAATTACAAAATGAGATTCATATACATATACAAATCACTCTTGTAGACCTGTAAAACAGCAATGAGGGGTTCATGTGGGAGAACCCAATACATTTTTGACTCCCTAGGGTGGGGCAGGGCCCAAGCACTAACACTAGTAGCATGGATGTATTTATCTCTTCATATCTAGTTTGTGCATGTTGTTAAATATTTCGGATATCAATTATTTTTTTAAGCAAATACGCCCTAAATCCCCATTTTAGACCCTGTCCTCTTGACCAAAGTGGGCCATACACTTCACCAATACATTCATTAATACAATCTAATTGAGTTCCCTTGGCCAAGGATGACCTAGACCAACTTTGTTAACTCATTCACCACTGAAGACACATTTGAACTCTTCCAATTCAAATGTGGAATATAGTTCATTAGGAAATTATTGGGGTAAATGAGTTAATTACTTTCTGTTTATGGACTGAAGGCATCAAAATTTCAAATTTTACCTTTATTTCTCCTTAACAGATTCATGCCACCCCCCTTATTTATATAATGTTGTGTCCCCTAAGGACTGGGATGCTAAACCCTGTTACAAGATTTGGTTAAAATAATGTAACTTGTACATATGTACTGAAGGGATAGAATTTTAGATATTTGCGTCGATTTCTTAATGAGGCCCCAACCCTCTGGCTGCAGGTGGGCAATTAATGCACCTTTTTTCAGCAATGCTCTGGACACTACATACCTATCATAAAATGTTCTCAATTTTATCAATTGTAGACATGCACTGTAAGTCTAAACACTGTACCAATACAACTAAAAAAATTTTTAGAATAAATATGCTTGCCTCCTTTTCTACCGAATTTCATAAGACAAAAAAAAACATATAGTCTGTTTAGGGTTGCATAGGCAAAAAACTAGGGTAGGTAGGTCAGATTTTTTTAAAAAAAAATTGTGTATATTTTTGGTCATGTGATTATGACCCTACTATTGTATGTAAAACAAAGAATTACATAAACAAGGTTCATTTGGAGGCAAATTGTGCTCCATATGATGACATTTAGTGCCAACTTTTTTTTTTGGCCTAAGAGAACCTTGCACAACTCTTTTTCAACTAATACTTACTTCTTCTTCATCTTCACTGCTGCTGCCAAACAAGTCAATTTCGTTGTCCTCATCATCGTCGTCACCTGCAGCTGCTGCAGGCACTGCTTTCACAGGGGCCTTAGCAGCAGCAGCGGACGCAGCTGGTGCACTGCCTGATCCTCCTTCGAGGACCCTTACACGTCCCTCCAGCTTCTGTACAAGGGCTTTCATTTCATCCACAGCTGCGCAGAAGATGACAACATTGATTATGGATATAGTCCGTATCCAGTGGTTTTCTTAGTGGAGACCATAAATCTGACCAATGACCTTGAATTTAGGTCAATGTCACTAATATGAAAAATATAGCACGTTAAGTTCACAGGGACTTCATCCCTGGTGAGCTTAATTCTGATGTGAAATCTTGTTTGGCTACTCTCATGGAAGAATTGTAAAACGAGTTATCAACGAAAGTTCTTTGGATTTCTTCACAACTTGACAGGGAGATGCTATACATGGTAACATGATAAAGGCTGCTGCAAGCTTCTGGTTATCTGGTATAGATCTTCTGACATAATGGCCGACATGTTTATAGGTTTTCAGTGTTTCAAAGCGGCAATAGTGACTGGTTTCTATTAAAGACATTTCCTGATTCCTATTTTTACAGACTGCATTTTAATGTCCAGATAAGGATGGGTCTCACATTTCAAACAAAATGCAATGCTGATGATGACACTACATTAATGTAAAAGCTGTGCCATTCACGTCAAACTTACAATGACGGAGTTCCTTGTTTTCCTTTTCTAGGTTTTCGATCCTCACAGTAGAGTCTCCACCACCAGAGGGAGCTGGTGAGGCCCCAGCACCAGAACTTCCACCCTAAAACAAAAACGAACCTTGTCACTGCAGGAACATTTATATGATTGTAAATCAAAATGTTACTTTGACTCCTTAACGCACAAGTCCATTTCAAGGCATTTGATCAAATTCATCTTAACCCTTTCACCCCTATGTAACTTTAGTTAACTCTTCCATGCATTGATCTGGATGAGTCCATTTTGGTCTCCAGTGGTGAAAGGGTTAATTAATAGGGTACTGTATTTCGGGAAATTTTGAACACAGTTTAACTTCCGCCTTTTTCTCCCTTTGCAATGAGGATGAAGTTAGCAATACAGCGAACATTAGTTACTAGCATAACATAGTGAGAAGGGTGACATTAATACTGGGTGAATATGTATTTTACCAGCAAAGGGATCAAGTTTGACAGGGTAAAAATTTCCCACTATACACAGTCCTTATAAGGTACATCAATGACTTATAACTAGTTTACAAAGTAATTCTAAGAAGGGACAGATATTTGCCTCCTTTTAAAACAAACTGAAGTAACTAGGTCATCACATTATTACATCAAGCTACATCTTTATGGGGATATCCTCTATCAGTCTCCATTAAACAGAGTTTTTACCTATTAACTGCTGGTTATACAAAATTAAACAACAGGTGTTGTATCCAATCAGAAAACAGGTGTTGTATCCAATCAGACAACAGATGTATCTAATCAGACAACAGATGTTGTATCCAATCGGACAACAGGTGTTGTATCCAATCAGACAACAGATGTATCTAATCAGACAACAGGTGTTGTATCTAATCAGATAACAGGTGTTGTATTCAATCAGACAGCACAGATTGTATCCAATCAGAAACAGTTGTTGTATCCAATCAGACAACAGATGTATCTAATCAGACAACAGATGTTGTATCCAATCAGACAACAGTTGTTTTATCCAATCAGACAACAGATGTTGTGTTCAATCAGACAACAGATGGAACCAGCTTATAGAATTATTTTTGAATAGATAACAGATACATATTTATCACATAATGTTCAGTGTTATCCAGTGAATATACCCATGTTATATTTTTTGGCGTATTAACCCATGTTATATGACCCATCAGCCCTGTGATTGGTTTTAAGTTTCAATTGTTTCAATTGTGACCTCATGCCTAGGTCAAGTACATGATGTCACAGACTTACGCACTGGAGTCAAAATGGCGGCTTTTTACATTTCAAGGTTGCATGTAAATTGTCGTTTTACACGAATAAATGCCAAAAATCTTGATTAAGTGATAAAAAGGATCTTACACTTGTTTCCATTTCATATGAGTTTTATGAAACTTGTCACGATTTTTTCCCATTTTAGCTCGCCAGAGGCTCGCTAAATTGAAACATTCTTAGACTCGTTTCATAAATCTCATATGAAATGGAAACTCATGTAAGATCCTTGAGCTGTGGTAACAATACCAAACACAGTAATTCATACACACATGATTTCCTACTTAAGACTGCTGCTGTGGTTCATTTTGATACAGGTGAAAGTGGCAATACACCACTATAATACATATCTATAGTGATCTATTTATAGATTTGGGTTCAACAAAAATAAAATCCAATATTTGCTGTGGGCAATAAAAACATGTACACATACTTAAGAAATCATCATATCATGCAGTATTAGGATCAGAAAGCAGAGCAAAATGTTAGTTCAGTGCCGTGTTAGCCCAGACTAAAAATCTGGTCTGGAACGAGTGAAGACCAAATTAGTTCAGATATGACCAACATATGTACAGTGTACATGTATATATGAATGATGGCAAAACTTTTAATAAGTGCGATAAATATGCTTATCAGCCTGCTTTGTTAATTACATCAACAAACATATGTTGATTATATCTATTCTACCATGTCAAATGTGATGAATTGCAATTTTGCCTAACAACTAGTAGGGCGACGTCACCTAGAAAATCAAATTATATAAATTCAGCAAATGATTGTCACATGATAGAGGAGTTGCCTTTATGATTTCCCGTTCATCTGGGTAGTTCTAATGATGCATTCTGATGGATGTAAATTTAGTCACCAGGGCAGATTTAGGAACAGTGCCATATATGGAATTAATACATACATGTATATGTATTATCTAAAAGGGATACACATGTATACATGGTCTGTTGTCAAATAATCCAGAGTTGCTTACCAACAAAAGTATCATTAGACTGTCAACATGGTAGAAGTTTACAAAAATCAGTGAAGAAATTCCAGGCAGGCATTCCATCATTAAATTAACAGGCATTCACACATTTTTTTAGATGTGTTTTTTAACCCTCTACAGTTGTACAATACTACAAATGTTTTCGTGTTTTAATTCTCTACATTATGATTTTGAATCCTGGTCACGCAACTTTTACTAAAAATTATTTGAATGTGAACAGTAAATATTTTAGAAAATATCCTGTTTATTAATTACCAGCACCTTAAAACAACTAGATACAGCGTGCCATATAAAGCCACCCACATCTATCTATCTAACTGTATACAACATGCAGTCTCATCATCTTTGTAGATGGGGGAGATTTCAAACTATTTCTAGGGCAAAATTAGCTCTTAAATACAAATTCCTCAGCAGAATCTCGGTTTTTAGTTCCACTACACACATTTTATGCCTAGCCTGATACGTTTTGTATTAATTCTATACACCATTACAAATTGTATGACAGTAATAAAAACAGTTTATAAACTACAATGACCTGCCTCCCTACATATATATGTACAATGTATCTATTTGTAGTGAGTTTTTTTTTTTTTTGTTTTTTACATAAATGAATGTTCAGTTACATTTTTTGTCATAAATATGGAGTAGAAAAACTGAAACGTACATATCCCTTCTTATACCAGGCAAATCATATTGATTCAATTACGTGTATTTTGAAATTGTACGTATGATCTATCAAAACTATGTGATGGTGAACTATTATATATGACCGGTAACATATATATACATTGAATAATGAGATCGTACAATATAACTTATTGTTCTGGGTCATTGCATAACACACTAGCTATGAATGTATATAATATATAAAACATGCCGATCAACATTCACGGTCAGATTTTAGTTGTCAGCCATCTTCTCTATGGTGATAATTAGGTATATATGTAAGTGAAACATACACTAGTATTAACTGTGTACAAAGCAACAAATGAACACAACAAATTTACCATAAAAAAGAGCAATACAAAGCGGCTTCAGTGGAAAGAAACAAGGCAAAGTACTGCAAGCAATGCATACCCCCCTCTCGACAAGCTTTCGTATCATAAAGTAGAAAATAAAGAATTGTAACTCTAGATCTGTATACAGTAGAAAATGACACATAACTTCAGAAAATAAAACTCTTGTATGCCAAGGGGTACCCACCCAGTACACGCATCTGAAATTTGGCAATTGAAGGTATGAAAGTATACAAGATATGCCCAGAAAATGTGATGCGGGTGACGGAGGATCAATGGCCATAACTCTGAAAAAAGTGGGGCACAGACTGACAAACGCAAACTAGTAGCCCATTGGTATACCGGTGTGGGACGTAATAAAGAGGTAAATAATGTAACAAATGGTTCAGAGGACATTGACGGCAATCTTTCTTCTACAATGTATTTTTTATCCTACATTATAATTGATATCAGTATTAACTACATGTATATGAAAGAGAATAGCCAGTTTTTATTGGAGAGAGAATGAAAGACATTATAAATATTTAATCTTCAAAAGAAATAACAAGCTTCCGAAATGAACTGCAAATTAGAAACCAAAATAAACGGGACGCCCACATTACTGACCCTGATTGCAAATCAGTGATGAAATTGCCAGTATTTTTAACTGTTCCAAAGTATGTAAGTCCTGTCTAGCTACAAAAAATATGTAATAACAATAGGCAGTTTTAGAGTTACCATAGCAATTATAAAATATACAGAAAATTAAAGATAGAGAAAATTAAAAAGAGTGTTTTTTGACAAATGCAGTTGTTTTTTGACAAATGCAGTTCTAAACTTTGAACAAGCAAATTAATATAAATGCTATATATCACAAAATATGCATTACAAATTTTATGATTTTTTTAATTTAAATTTAAACACTGAATTAGATACCATAGTTTTGCATAATAAACTAAATGCAAATACATGTATCTTTGGCAAGTAAGACAGCAGCAAGGATGACTGGTTAAAAAAATACTGCCCTCTCATCTAACACCAACACAATAACACTACAACATGTAACAGAAACATAAAACTAAAAAACAAAAATTCACACATATTCTCTTTACATGGGATGTATTTTTTCTTTAAGTTGACAAATGACTTGGGAACTATCATCAATTCAAATGACTTGTTTTAAAACTTTTTGAAAATATAATGTGAATGAATTAAAAATCTACTAAAAAAAATATACTTTCACAACATTTAAAGATAAAAAGCAAGGAATATTACATACAAAAAGTATATAATATACCCAGAAATTACTCACAGATCGCAAAACATTTTGTATATGTTGTCGTGCCTGAGCGATTTCGTTTTTGATAGAGCTTGTCTCAGTTTTCTGGCCTGATGGTCCTGCCTACAAATACAGAACAGACAATTGACCATAATCAGATTCCGCTACTTTTTCCCCAGATCTTTTAAAACACATCAGAGAGAATTTCATCGAACCTCATCTGACAGAAGTATAAATTATTTGTTGCCTTTCACTTAAAAAAAAGCTTTTCATCACCAGAATCTTTTTCTTTTATTAAAATCTCTGGAAAAAGAACAACAAAAACATTGTCAAAAACATCTTGTGTTCAAATACAAGTCCTTCCCTTTAACTTGTTCACCCCTGAGGCACATTTGAACTCTTCCAATTCAAAGGTTGGAAAAGTTCATTATGAAATTTCAGGAGTGAATGGGTTAAAAACAAAGTTCAAATTCAAGCAATGTTTAAATAATCCTTACTGTCCTTAAAAACATATATTATTTTATGTTAAATATTTTCAAATACAGTCAACATTGAAAAACTTTTAACAATCATTGCCCTTTGGATCTGTTTAGATTCTAATATAACTATCTATTTATAATTTATAAACAGGCTGATTTCACCGACCAATCCTTCTATTGTATGACATTTTTAAAAAAGATTAAGAAAAAAACTCTGGAATGAAAAAAACTGTCGACTACAATATTGGCATTGAAACAATGCAGATAAGAATCTAGAACCAAAACTGTCTTAGTTTTTTTAACAGATTATTATGTACTAGATACACAAACTTTAAAGTAGGCATTCCAGGGTTATATTTCAGTCTCTAAGTACAGTACCTTTCATCCAATCACAAAATCAAAGCACCAACTTTATTAAAGTTTCCATTTTAATAAATTAAAACGTTTAGATTTCCATCCATCTTTGTTGTGATTTTGTGCAAATGGTCAACGCAGAGTGCAAGTTAGGATTAAAGTTTGCTTACAAACAGGGAACCATGTTAATGACCAGACCAGACTAATCAGACTTGTTACTACCGGATATATCAAACATACAGCTATAGAAGTCATTTGCCCAGGTACTTGTTTCGCCAAAAAATGCTGAAATAAACGCATTCTACTTATGTTTTGTACATACTTTTTTCCCTCATTCAAACGATGTGGAGAATGCCTGGAAATTTGACCTCCAACAGGAACATAGACACAAATATCCACTTTCTCATGTCATTTGTAATAAATTTAGTGATTCTAGATACCTTGGTAGGTCAACACTTATGTAAAATAAAATCAATCAATTAATCTTCAGTTAACATGCCTACCTAAGTATACTTGTCCAACCCTCATCCCCACCTGGTCCTATATATTCACATGTGAAATAGCCCTATACCATACTAGAGAAATTGTAGTGTGAAAGTCATGTATTGCCAATGTCAATTTCAAAGACTGAAATGACAATACATTTGGAGTTTAGTGGTTAGCACCGCAACCAGCAATCATTTCCAAAATCATCAACAGCATCAATAACCCTTTCATCCCTATGTAACTTTAGTAGACTCTATCATGCATTGATCTGGACGAGTCCATTATGGTCTACAGTGTTGAAAGGGTTTTAAGTTTACATTCCTGGAGCTGTTATGTCCTTATCGATTCACCACTATTTTTTTATGAAATATACGAAAATTAGTAGGAATATTATACATGACAAAAAGCACCCACAGCAAAATAAACAAAGGGGAGGTAACTCAATTAACAATAACACTGTTTTCAGGATACAAATTAATTATGTATAAATAGGAAATTAGTTACAAACATGAAATTATTTGTACTAGATACATTGCAGATTAAAGTATGTCTGCTTTCCAACACACATTTTAAAGAAACACAAATTCTGCAACAAACTAGCTTTTTCCACAAAGAACCATACATCGGTATCTCTATCCAACACCTAATTTGGGAAAAAAAGTCGGCACAAAGTTAACCAATTAAATGTTCACAGTTGCAAAAATTTACTTCAAGATGACTTTTAATCATCAAATGTAACTTAATCAACAGAGAAATACTTTGGATGTTAACATAATATGAATACCTGCAGGTGGGTGGGGGATAATGACCTATTTCTAAAAGATTGTCCGTCAAACTGTCGTTAAAATGTCACAATAATATTTAGAAGATGTAGCTCTTTTCAACATCAAATGTACTCGAATGTTCACAATCGCCATGTGACCAGCCATTACCAATATATGTGTCAGATTCCAGAAGTACGGAATATGTTATAGGTACATTTGAGGGTTGTGTCATATAGCACACTGTCAATGATCAAAGGAAACTAAAGCATCATTTTACCACTACCATTTTTGGGGCATTTTGAAACTACTGTCATTGCAATAAGAACTTGTCATGGGATTGCATTGTGCCAGCATCTTCTATTTTCATCAAGGTCATGATTCATAGCAATTATTCCCTCCATCAGAAACTGAAATCATGGTTTTCCAAGAGAAAGAAACACGGTATTCCAGGCACTAAATGAATTTTTATGTGAGAAATATGTCAAATAGAGTGTCATTTTATGGCAAGTAAGTCAAGTTCGAAATACATCATATATAACCAACCACAAGTTTGGAACCTCCTAGATTAGAAAGTTGTCTACAAGTTATAATGAGAAGTACTGTGTCTACTCATTGTGGACATAAAGTACTGCGACCACAAGTTATCAAACTAATTCCTGTGGGACCAAAACAGAATAAAATTAGATATCTAGTGGAATAATTTGATAAAATGATCTAAACAGTAATCTGCCGTTAACACAAGGTTCCAGTGGATAGAAGCATTGTGATGAGAACCTTTTGAGCTGGGGCTCCTACATCTTGCGTTCCCGACTTGACTTTCTGGTAAAAGGCTTCAGCATCTTCAAACTTCCTCTGTTGAAGCCAGACAGAATCTTGCATGTACGCAGAAGCCATTCTATAATAGAAAGAAAAACATTGTGTGAATGAGACATCAGAGCTTTTAGGTTTTGTGTCAATGGCATCCCCATATTCTTTTTTAGCGAAGAAAATTTCAAAGAACCCTGTGAAATTTAAAGGAATGTGATCCATGAAAGGACACAAGTTCATCTTAAATGTACACAAAGCAGTACTAGTACATCTATTTAATACAAGGCCGATTCTAGCAATTCTGTCAAGACAAGATTAGCTTACCAACATAATATTAATTGAACAATAGAAATTACAGAACCATGATATGCAATGTTTATATCGGAAAGATAATATGTGTTTTATGTTTTAGTGCAACAGGCTGGAAATTTAAGTTTCATTTTTAAAGATAATTTTATATGGTTTATATAGGAGTGATCGTGACTTTAACAGTGCTTCTTTGAAAATTGCCTTAAATAGTTTAGGGTAGACATAAAAATAAGGGAAGGTAGGAATACGGGAAACACCAAATATTTTTTGTTTGGCCAAAAACACCTTTGACCCGTGCCCCGAGGCATTTAGGGTAGGCAAATGTCATATGAACAAGAATGATAGCCCTTTATCACAGCATGTAAATGGAAAATATTAGGATACTTTGAGATTTTTTTGTTTTGGGGGGTTAAGAAAATCAAATATGTATTTAAACATTTTAGACTTTTGACCTTTAAGCAGGTCAATATAATTTATTTAAGAAACTTGAAACAATTCAGGTCAAATATCAAAACCTGTTGCTTGTTGGCCATTCAGAAGCAGCTTTTAAAAAGTTTGAACACACTTGACCCTTGTTGCCCTGGAAGTAGTGCAAGGTCTTTCATTTGGACAAATGTGATCAAACTGATGGATAACCCTTATACTATAATCCCTAGATGTATAATGCCATATTATTGGCATTGCATATATTTCCCCTGAATAAATCACAACTGAGCACAAAGCGAACAAGGCTGACTGAGATTGGAAAATAGCATGCAAAGCAAGTGAGATTCTACCTGTATACCATTCACTACAGATTCTCACTCAGGAACTATATGGCTTGACTTGTATCAAAAGTCATGTTAGCTTTAATTTATGAATACATGTCATCATTCTGGACATTTGAAGCATTTTCTCACATTTTTCTCGACAATAGTCACTACATGGATACTTTAGGAATGCATGTACAGTTAAGTTTTTTCATTCATTTCATTATTCATTGCAATTTTGCGCCATTCAAATTCCGCAATCAAAAGTTACTTTCAGACAAAATCAACAATGTTTCAACAAATAATTTCTGCTAATGAATAGTAATGTAATTATTGACATTCTTCTCGACATGAGCATACGAAGCGACTTCCATACTTTTTTCATTTTGAGGAAAGTTATGGACCCATTGCAAAATATATACACTGACATGATGCTGTATGAAATACCTTAAAAGTAAATATGATATCCATGTCCTCCAACAAAATTTCAGACAGAAGATGAAGATGTAACTAACATGTCAGACTGAAAATGTTGAAGAAGAAGAAAGAAGTTTCTCAGAATAATTTATTTAAAAAACATGTTGCTATATCTTGGATAAAAAATGTATAAATGTTTTTTTAGGCTTTTGAATAGCTTACAACGTAACTATACCTCGATATTGAAGAGACCGGTGCGGTGTCGTCGAATCAGGCTGTGAAAAGGAAGTTACACATGTTAAGTTTCTTAGAAGTTCGGGAAAGTACTCCGCTGATTGGACAATAACAAGTGAGAAATTATTTCAAATAAATTACAAATCACTTTTTAGAAATGTAAATTTGACAGCATATTCCTAAGACACATATTGTAAGCAATAGGCTTTCATATTACTTTATTCATATAATATTATTGTTTTTATATTTACTCCATACTCACTTCCGATAACGATGGCGGACAAAGACGAAAAGAGCTCTTTGCCTCTTTCAAGAATCCGAACAATTATGAAAAGTTCGCCGGATGTATCTAGCATCAGCCATGAGGCATTGTTCCTCACTGGAAAAGCAACGGTATGCTTACTTTCCATCTCAAATTCGCCTTAATTATAAAAGTTTAGAAGGTTCGAGTTGTTTACAATACGAAGCATGTCATCGGTTTCGGAGCCCTCAAGGAGATCTGCTGAAATAACCAAATATTGTGATTTACATGTGTACAATATACAATGGAACGAACAACTCGCAATTAGCATTTTCAATAAATTGCATGTGCCGTGAACCACAGCTGGCACTCGATATTTGATTTTGAGGTAGATCGGATTAGGAAAATCATATTAGATATAATTTACATACAAACATTGAGTGCCTGTGCGGGAACGGCCGTGATCTAGTGTTAAAAGAAAGACAACTCGAATGCACTAGAAATAAATTCTTAAAAATTGCATCAATAGACAAATGTTACAATATATCTTTGAAGTTTGTTCTTCACTTAGTTCTTCACATGTCATAACATTTGTAACATTAGAGTCCTCCGAATTCTAGACGGACGCTTATTACCAATTGAGCTAGCCTACCTGGTCACTGATTATCGACCAAGTCAAGTTCCGGTACATTCCTCCTTCCCTTTTCAAAGTCTTCGCCCAAAAGAGTCAGTAGCAGGCAACACTGTCATAGGAGATGGATTTTAATGATTTTTTCCACACAGTTTTTATTGATTTTTTCAAATTGTTCATCATCAAAAGTCAACTGAAAGCTATGTAAAATATTTAAGCAAAATTTCCAGATAAATTCAAGTTTAACAGATTACAATATAGGAAGGCTGCTGTTGAAACACATGTTAATTATTTTATATTTAAACAGGAGCTGTTCGTTCAAAACCTAGCCCAGGTGTCCCTTGACCGAGACAAGGACAAGAAACATCTGCAGTACGGTGATTTGTCAGAGGTGGTCAACACTAATGATGTTCTTCAGTTTCTGCAAGGTAAACTTGAAGTGATCATGAAGTGACCTCACTTCAGTTATTTCCAGCTTCTCTTTGTTGATTGCATGTAAAATGTTTGCAAATGCAAAGTTGGAGGCACAATAGTCTAGTGGTAGGACACAAAGCTCGTGACCAAAGGGTTGCGGGTTTGCGTCGCGTTATGGCACTGTGTTGTATCATTGAGCAAGATACTTTACTCCGCTTGTTCCAGTCTACTCGGCTGTAAATGAGTATATGGTTGGGCAGAATTATAGAATGCTAGCTGTGAGCGCTGAAATGGTAGCTCCGGCTGTATACTCCCCAGGGAGAAAGACATTGGTTGGTTGCAAAGGGCCCTATAACCATGGATAATAATTTGTGAACCGCTTTGAGACGACCTACAAACTAGGTCTTCCTTAAATCTGAAAATAAGTAAGATTTACATGTAGATATATCAGTATTCATTTTTTCATGGATTTCTAAAATTAAGGGAGGTAGCAATCTCAAATGCACAGAAAATATGCTGTAAATTTATAGGAAAATGAACATCTCAAAATGGAGGAAATTGCATCATAATTATCATTTGGGCAATAAGAGGTTTGACAGATGTAGGGGAAAGTTATGAGTGAAGGTAAGAGAGGAGAGTTATTGGAGGAAACTTATAGAATGAGAGAGGATATTGTGCCCCGATTGGAAAAAAAAAGATAATATAAGACGAACAAAAATTTCTCATAGCAGCTACTAGGACAGCTCCAGTAAAGCTTGATACATGAGTATCAAATAACAAGTAATGCTTGCTTTGCATTTTTTTCAGACATTATTCCACGTAAAATTAAAGCTCAGGAGTTCTTGGATATGATGGAAGATGATGAAGAGGAAACATGAAAAAGAGAAGATGCAGAGAGAGAAAATGACTAATAAGGCATATTAGAATGCCTTGAATCCTTTCACCACTGTAGATCATAATGGACTCCTCCGTATCAATGCATGGTAGAGTCTACTAAAGTTACATGTGTGTTAACGGGTTAAAATTAGTAACAGCAAAGTTAACCATTGGGAGATTTGAGACCACGCAATGTTCAGTGACAATGCCACCACAATAAGTAGATAATCTGTGCTTTGCTCTTTGCATTTTTTGTCTCAAATAAAATAAAAGCATATGTCCCCTGGTATGAAGTATAAATATTGTTCTATATTAAAAAAAGCAAAACTTGAAAAAAAAGGATAGAACCTTGAACAATTCATACTGGTATTGTTTTTACTTGAAAACATCAAATTTGCTACAAAATAATGTAAATACTTTGTGCTATGCTCTTTACATTTTTTGTCTCATATGAAATAAAAGCATATGCCACCTGGAATGTAGTTTAACATTGTTCCAGTTAAAAAATATAATCAAGACTAGTACTGAAATATTCATACCAGTATTAATTTACTTGAAAACATCAAATTTGTTACAAAATAAGGTGAGGAAAAGGGAAAAAAATCTGCTGAAAGTGCTATACCGGTATATATTTTCCCCCCGTAAAGGATTGTAAAGTGCTCGAGTGTAGATATCAAATTGTTCATTGAATGATTCCTCAAAAGATGTTCATGTAACCATTAACAATATGATACAAGTATTTGATTCATAGGCATTTTGTAAAGTTTACATGGAAAATACTTGAATGTCATTGATAATTGTTTTCTTACCAATCTACCATGGAAAGTAAACCACAGGACAGTGCATTGCATAACAAATTCAACCGTGACATCATTATTCAGTAACAGACTATGGATTTGATTGACTATCGATTGTGCATGTTGATTTATTTGCTTGATATGGTGCAAAGAATATATTTTAGTAATTGTCAAATTATGAAAGAAAATATAGAAACTTTTCATACAGTTCACACTGCCATTAATTGTATTTCATACCGTTGTAAATAGCCGAAAAGGCCCATCAATGCTTCTGAGCCTGGGATGTACATATATTTAAGCCCAGTGCCTGGGACTGATACATTTTATATTAGGGGCTAGTGAAAATTTTCAAAAAGTATGTACAATGTATATGAAATTATACATTGAGCCAGTAGAATTTTTGTAAGTATGCCAGCTGGCTGTTGCCCTGAATATGAAAATGTATACCGTTGATGTACTTTAAAGTACATCAGGGGCATACAATTTCATATTCAGGGCAACAGCCAGCTGTTTATAATGCTAATGTGCATTGCAGTAAAACAATACAAAACTCATCAATATGTCATGGTATTTTTTTATAATGATATGACAAATGAGAATTGTGTTTTAATTTTGTTGTATATATATTTGTTTGTACCAAGTATATTTCTTATGACATTAAAAGAATTAATGCTATCACAGTGTTTTTGATTGGTTTGTTTTTTCGGTCTAAAGAGATTATTGCATTCAATTGCTCTTCCCCCGCAAATAAAACTAATCCTACTTTCTAAAATTAAAAGAAGAACTACTGCTGTAGACCAGGCTTCAAGATCACCTCAATTTTGAAGTTGCTTCAAGCTGAGATCAAAGTTCATCTCCCATAGACTTAAAGTTACATACTCGGACTCAAACTTAGCCGAAGATGGACAATCAGAATTGGTGAAAGAATATTGCTGCCTGTAGTAGACTTGCTCAAGTCTTAAGTCTTTCTAGAGAGGAGAGCCAGGTCAGTCAAAGACACCCGTACACACTCGGAAATAAGTAATGTAGTACTGTTCTACCAGAAGGATATTATGAGGAGCTATCTCTATTTCAATCGTATCAAGTCATGTTTAGGATACATAGATGGTGACTTTGTGGGATTTTCTAAAGACAAGAGAAAAAATCCTGAACCATTGACATAAGAAATACAGAAATTGATTGAAAAATGACAAATCTTCTGAACATCATGGTGTAATTGGTCATTTTAACCAAGCTGCCATCTTTGATCAATACAAAATTGAAAAAGAAAAAAGAAAAAAAAGGCACTTGAAATAGGTCTTCTGCAATGCATAATGTGTTTTGATCATTTGAAACATTCATAATTACTGTACAAACATAAAGTGCATACCGGTATATACAAGAAGCCCAATTAAAGCCTACACATTGTAACTACAATTTTATGCGAAGGGAGATAACCTCGGAAGCCTTCAAATCTGACAATACCCAAGCACTGGATACACCCGAACTATCTATAATGTTACAATAAAGCGCACCATTTCAGGTGTACATACGCCTGGAGATTTGATCGGTTGTTTATTGGCCTTCAGCTTTCCATCCTCGGTACTCGCTCTCTGCATCCCTGGGATATGTCATAGCAAAATTGAAGGCACCCACCAATCTATTTGATTAGTTTCAGGTTGATACGTGTCTTCGAAGATTACAGAGGGACAACGCCCGACTTCAAAGTCAGTCAATTTCACCGTTACGCGACCGCAAGATTCTTTAAATGTACGCCAAAGGGTTAAACTTTGCTATGACACATTCCGGGGTGCAAATAACGTACGTTAGCGTAATCTCTGGAGTATCAGCATCTAAAACACATCATGAATGCAAAATTGAGTAAGTAAAAAAGCAGTATTCTTATTGGATGATGGTCAATATAAACTAATTTTTTATTTCATCTAATATTTGAAACACCAATAATCCCAAAATATTATTTATTTTTATGTGAAATTAAGTTATTCCTGTTAAATATGTCGATGTTACGTTCTCTTAATTTATGGTTTAAAGAACCAACACAAATGAAATTTAATTCGTCAAATTCACGTCAATTACACTTTTTTTTTTGCAGCGCCGTCGTCCGTCAAACTTTTAAATAAAAGCTTTCTCCTTCTGAACGACTTGTCGAATTTCAAATAAATTTGCTGCAATGGATCTTTGGGTTTGGTGTGGTTTTATTTTGTTTTAACGTCCTATTAACAGCTAAGGTCATTTAATGACGTGGATCTTTGGGACAAGAGAACTAACGTACTACGCTGTACGAAAGAAGATTTTGGTTCCCATCGAGACGAGGAAAATGACCGAAATAAGTGGATTTCAACCTTCAATAGAGACTTCTTCTCCTGAAGGGTTCGACGATTTTTAACCAAACTTCATTATTTTAAGGTTTTAAGACAGAAACAACGGAGGTCGGAGACAAGGGTCGGTAAAAAGGATATACCATTAATGAGGTTGAGGGGAGTTTTTTTTATTACGAGTATTAACCTTATGCCTGAAAACTTCTAGTAATACTCCTACACGTAGGATAGGTTCAAACACATGCTTTATGTCAATGATTCTCTGCTCCGTGTAGTCGGAGTTATTAAGAAGAGACAAATGAACATACTATTTAAATTTACTATTTCTAAAACCATAAATAGAGTGAGTTAAAAATGAATTACAAACGCTTTTTGATTATTGTAGTAATAATCCAGGTTAATGAGTTAGGGTTAGGGAATTTCGGTACAGTTTATTTGTCACCTTTTATTTCTAGGGTATGCTGGAAATTTGATCTATATATGTAAGTATTGTCTACGTCCTGAGGGACTACACTGTAAGGGACCGATTTCCAGGACAGGGTCACATTAGCCAACACCATTAATTGATATGTGCCATTAGTCCAGGCTATGCAGGTGACACTTATTGCTTCTATACCCAGAACACAAATTGGGAATTATACACCATGGGAATGTGATTTTTTTTTTTCCGTGACCTAATTATTCAATGATGAAAAAAGCCCTGACAATTCTTAATTTTGTTTGTATTCAGTCAACCTAGTACGGGTGATAATAAGGATTTAACCACAGGAGACAGACGCGATATAAAGTAGTCCTTTAATTGTAATCAGTTATACTGCGGTCTATGATGTTTGCGTTAGTTACAACGACATAGATATATGTAGATTGTCAATATCCTGGGGGAGGAGGAATTAATGATAAAGCCTGGTTGTATGAAGTTTATTAGCCAGCCAGACAGCACGCTCCGGACTTGACAGGTAATTAAATGACGGAATCTTCAGCAAAGATATTTCTGTTCGTTGTGTTATATTTCCTTTCATGTTTCCGTTTTTCTGTCTTTTCATAAAGCCTTTTTGTTGGGAACTCTACATTACTTGTTGGTGTCGTTTCGTATCAAATTTGAGGCTTATTGACATTGTGGTATGTTTTTTCCTTGTGTCATGACACTGTGGTATATTTTGTGTGTTGACACTTTGGTATAGTGTGTCCTTGTGTTTTGACACTGCGGTATATTTTGTCCTTGTGTGTCAACATTGTGGTATATTTTGTCCCTGTGTGGTGATCCTGGGGTATATTCTGTCGCTGTGTTTTGACACTGGTACATTTTGTCCTTGTTTGTCAACATTGTTGTATAGTTTATCCTTGTGTGTTGATGCTGTGGTATTTTTTTCCTTGTGTGTTGACACTGCGGTATATTTTGTCCTTTTGTGTTGACACTGCGGTATATTTTGTCCTTTTGTGTTGACACTGTGGTATATTTTGTCCTTGTGTGTCAACATTGTGGTATAGTTTTTCCTAGTGTGTCAACATTGTGGTATATTTGTCCTTGTGTGTTGATGCTGTGGTAACTTTTGTCCTTGTGTGTTAACACTGTGATATATTTTACCCTAGTGTGTCAATATTGTGGTATATTTGTTATACTTGTGTGTTGATCCTGGGGTATATGTTGTCCCTGTGTTTCAACATTGTGGTATAGTCTGTCCTTGTGTGTGTGTGTTGATGCTGTAGTATTTTTGCCATTGTGTGTTGAGGCGTTGGTACATGTTTTTTTTTTGTAGGTTCGGAATATTGGCATTTTCACGAAATTAGTTCTGGGATTCAAAATGTGTCTTCTGATGTAATATATACAATAAATTTGTGTATCTAACTAATAATTCTGTATGATCGAGACATGATTTTACGCGTGGTTACGCTAACAGAATTTAGTAGGACTAGGTTCGACACGCTAGTACTAAACTTTCTACCATATCTGAATCGTTATATCAGCTAGTCAATTATTTATCAAACCTGGAGCGATGGATGTTAGTATTATATTACCTTCTGATGCATGTTTAAAGTAACCTGAAACAAACAGGGAATAATACATATTTATCCGTCAACATTAACCCTGTCACCACTGTAATGTAGACCATAATGGACTCATCCAGATGAATGCATGGCCTACTGAAGTTACTAAGGGGTGAAAGGAGACAGTATTTGGATTTCTATTTGATTTCCTGTCACGTGCGGGCGGTAACCCATCCAGCTAATGACCACACCCGGCGTTGCTGAACTAGTGAGCGCCTTTCCAGGGTAATACCACGCCCCTGAAAAGCTAGCTTACCAATAAGGCAGTATTTCCCACTCATATTCCTTGGTTGTTACATTATCTTCATTCTCCTAGAGTAAGAAACATTATGTATGGTAGTGGATGGCGGATGAGAACGGGCGTACAGTCCTCTTAGTATGATGATTTCAGTGATGGAGCTTAGTTTAAATCAATTTTATTGTAACAAAAGACAAATGGATTGGACAAAAGTTATTGCAATTTCTTTACTTACGTCCTTTCCGTAACAAATACATATATATACAAAAGTAATGTGTCACGCAATAGCCTAAATACTTTATTTTACATATATATATATAAGAACACTTTAAAGTTAAAAATGGGGTTACGGCAAAAGAGGTAAGGATAGGATTAGGGACACCAACGTATACTTTTTGAAATATGTATTCAAAGGGTTTACTTGAGAACGCGTGTGTGATTTTCCTAAGCGTGTCGGCGTAAGTAATATACCTCATCTATACACACATAGCGTTCTGCTTTTTTAAAGTTCCATCACATCCCGTGCCGCGTTTGCCTTTCTCCCGGTCATTCCAGTCCTCCTGTGAATTCCTGCCTTACGTACTTAGCTGACTAGATTAGGAACACCGGACACGCGCTCGTTATTATATGGTAACGGCTATGATATGAACGGGTTTATGCAAACTATACATTGGATAGATAAACGATCAGATTGAAATTAATTTAAGATATCGTTGGTGTTGGAGGAAGGGAGAGGTGAGGTGGAGAGAAAAATGGGAATAGTCAAAGTACGTATACTAGTCCGACAGATTGGTGAATAATTGTGGGATCTTTAGTAGAAGCATGAAACTTTGCATCAAGGAAGGAAGTGGTGTACTGATCAATTTTGGATATGGGGCCATTCAAATTTTTTCCAAGATGGCCGCCGTTTTTGATATTTTAGTAATACATATGGTATTACATCGTTATTGTAAATGATATATGTTCAAAAGTGAAATCTAAAACATCAGGCAGTAATTAAGATATCTTCCCACGATTTTGTACAGTATTGATGCCATTTTATTTAAATGGCAGCTCTTTCTTTATTGTCACCACCATATTTCTATCATATATATTTAACTATAGTCATATATTTATGTGTTCTTTCCAAAACGATGAATTAAAAATGTTATTTAGCAAGAAGCAGAAGAAAACCAAAAGAAGAACAAAAAATCAGGTAAGAATGGTTTTTGTATGAAAAACACAATTTGTGGTGTAGGAATACATTTTAGGGGTATTTTGTTCATGCTACACCATAATGAAAACAATGGATGGTTGCACCTGATAATCTTCATCATTTGAAGTCAACTTAAAGTGATGATAAAATGTCTCCTATCAATCCTGCGATCAAATATTCAAATGTAAAGATATATCATTCAAATATATTCACATAATGAGCAAAACAGCAAAAAAAATGTCTGTTTGAAACTATCTTAGTATCTGTTGTCTGTGTAGTCAAACCTGTGATTTTTAATCAACATTAGTTTACTTCTTGTGTTATCAATTGTGATATGCATATATAAAAAGTTGTATTGGCATACAATTGCATTTAACATGATAAAAATATTAAATACAACAAACTATTTGAATTTCCCTGGTTGGCAACTTTTTTCTTTTTGACCGGTGTTATAGGAAATTCTTACCCAATGAATTATTCCGGCATTACATATTAATGAAATTGTAGAAAAAATGTGAATTTATGTAATTTTGTTTGTTTTTCTTTTAGGAAGGAACATAGCTTTTTGGTGTGTTCTTTTGCGACATTTATGGAGAGAAAATTACAAAATGATGAGTAAGACATTTGTGGTCAATTCTTTACTGTCGAGGGAGAATTATATCGACTGGGATAAATGTTGTTTTTGTCAGCAATCAACAGCTGATCTGCTTCGATGTCGAACTGAAACCAAACGAAAAGACATTAATACCCTGATACAGCACACAAAGAGAGTGGCAATTCAAGCAGGATATGTTTTGGGACAGGCGGTAACACCTGCTCCCTTCCTTCCTTGTCCTAGTGAGTGGGGATGGACAAGAAGACATGGACAGAAGTGGGAACCACTGTGGACAACACTTCCTGAAGCTGCCAAGTCATGCCAGCAGTTGATTAGATGTGCACGCAACCCAGAAAAAGCCTGTAGAGGACACTGCAAATGTGCCAAAAGTAATCTGAAGTGATGGCGATTGTGACCATGGACTTTGAATCAAGGAGTACCCGAATTAACAAATGAATAGTACATACCAAAGTCTAGGTACATGGATAAGCTTTTAAATGTAAACATTGTGACTGTACAAACTGTAACATATATGCACTTAATATCACCATCCTGCCATATAGTATCATTAAGTAACATTCCCTAGATTTTAAACAAAATTTTAAGTTTTAAATTAAACATAACGTGAACCTATCTGTTTATGCAGATATAGCACAAAATTTATTTTTTGCTTCTTTCAAACAATATACTTTAGGTGGCCGTCTTATTTTTGGCGGCCATCTTGAAAGAAATAGATTGGCCCCATAGCCTAAATTGATCAGTACATAATTTTCAACCAGTATGCCAAGTTTTATGCTTCTATCCTAAAATCCACGATTTTTCCTGATTTTTGCACCATTCTCGGCAAATACTTGGCGGCCATCTTGGATTTGGCGGCCATTTTGACTTTTTTTTATTGGCCCCATATCCAAAATTGATCGGTATATCATTCCCTACATGCATGCCAATTGTTATGCTTCTACTATAAAACCCACAATTCTTCTGATTTCTGCACCAATCTGCCGGACTATACGTACAGTGATGGAGTGAAATCTGTTGACTAGGTGTTGACGTTTGTTTCACATTTTGTCTAAATGTTTGGACGCTGTGGGTTTCTTTTTTAATTAACAATTTTTGATGCTGTGCTTTTTTTTCCTAGTATATTGTCTCTGATTTCTGAATTTGTCTAGAAATTTTAACGCTGTGGTATATCTCTTACTAAAATGTTTTCAATATTTTTAATTTAGCATTGACTGATTTATTTTTTTGTCTGAATATTTCGATAATGCGGTTTATTATCATTTTTTATTTAATATTGACTCCGTTTTTCAATTTTATCTTAAGGGTTTGACATTGTAGTATATTTATTTTCTGTTTTGCTTGTTATCAATGTTTTTAGATTCGATTTTTGTCATGGAATGGTGGCACTGTGATATATCGTTTTACATGACTTAGAATTGACTCTCCAATTTTGCCTTGATGTTTTGAACTGTTGTTCATTTTATTTCTATTTTGATTAGGATCAAATAATGACATTTTGGAATGTTTTTTCCTACTTATGAATTTTGCTTAAAACAATAAAGACGAAAAAAAGAATGAAAATGTTCAACAACATTTTTATTATGTCTCTGAAATGCACCAGTTAATTTAAATGTCAATAACTTACATAAATTAATACTAATTTATATACACACATGTATTCATATCTTATTTATCCTTGCAGATGCTAGGAGATGAAGAATATCAGACCTTGGAATGCGTTGTATGAATGAATACACTAGACTAAAATATTTTATCAAACCCTAATACAATTTGAATATCACATTTTGCTCTGACGGTAATTGGTTTGATAGAAACAATTTGAATGATTTCGTTTAGCTTTACATAATTTTGTGAATATCGTTTGTTTAAATTTCACCTCGATACCAAGGAATCCAAGGCATATGTTATTATTTTTGAAACCTGGGCCCGTATTCATGAAACCGTCCTCATGCTCAAGCTAGTATTTTGCTCTCAAGCCTTATTTCGTGTTCCAGTTATAAGTTAATTTAAAAAAAAAAAAAAATTGTCAATGAATTGGGGAAAAAACAAGAGACATAAAGCCGAAAGCTGTTTTCAATGTTTTCATTTGACTTTTTGATCGCTTGGCATGATTTAAGCTAATAACAAGAAAGTTGGTTCGAGAACAGAATCCATGCTTGAGCATGAGAACGAATTCATGAATACGGGCCCGGATAATCATTGAGATTTTCGGGTATGTCATCAGGGTAAGAAGACATCACACGCCAGAGCTCGTATTCATGAAGACGTTCTCCAACTCAGATTTTATGCTCTAGCTCAATTCCTTATCTCAGTGCTGAATTACGATTGTATATTTATTCAAGTTTCACGTTTTGTCAATGATTTGAGGAAATTGTAAAGAGACGGATATCGTGTTCTGTGTCTACACTTCGATTTTTGACTCTTTTTCACAATTTCAGCGAGATCTTTGGAAGATAATTTGATTTGAGAACATAACCATTAAGCATAGGAAAGTTTCATTAATAAGGACTCAGGTCCTGGCCATATTTAGCTCAATAATGTTTAAAGAAAAATGACGTTTCATGAATTTGTTCAATTACATATTAAAACATTAATATTCCAGAATCAAAAATGCTTGCTTCCAGGATAGCACATTGATAATCGGTGTTTTTTTCGAATTCTGCGTGAACAAAATTAAACTGAAGATATGATTTTATATCTCATAAAATAATTATGCTTCATGTTTATTGATCATTGTGTCTTGAAAATGTTCAAGAACCTTCTCTTAGATATCGGAGTCGGGAACAATACACATATGTAAGTAGGCTGATATGAAGAAGGATGCCATTAACACAAAGGAAATGTATCTTATTTGAATTTCCAAATATTACCCTTTTATTAGCCTTGATATGAATTCTATGATGACTTTGGCCATATTTTTACAGCAAGTGCTCAAGACTATTCGTAACAGTAACCAGAATATGGTTATAATGTTACCGCACTGCTTTTCATTGTGACTTAAAAATGGTTACAACCCATACCTTCTCACTCACATTATTATCACTTGTTAAGCCTAGGCTACGTTATTTAAGACGCCTAACATGGCATCTAGTCACGTGATCACAATAAATAACAATGAAACTTAAGTTTATACCATAACTCCTCTATACTTATCCACACGTTGCCTCATTTTATTATAGTTGTTTACAATATTTGAACTAATATTTCGCACCGTGACGTCATAATACTTTGTGACATCACACTTGTATATGATATCATGGCTTCTTACAGCAATTGGATGTTTGGATTATATGCATTTAAAAAAGTAACAAATCTTTAGATTATAGGAAGCATTAGATCGAACTAGTACCAAACTCGTAGGAACTGATGATGAGTTATTCTCATTCTTTCAAAAATATTCCAAAGTGTAACATTGTCTTTGAAGCTCATGTATTACACCTTAGAGTAAATCCGCTAATTTGACTAAATGTCTATCATAATGTTCCTACAGGATTGGTTTGTTTGTGTTTTACGTCCTATTAACAGCTATGGTCATTTAAGGACGTGCCAGGTTTTGGTGGTGGAGGAAAGCCGGAGTTCCCGGGGAAAAACCACCGACCGACGGCCAGTACCTGGCGACTGCCCCACGTAGGTCTCGAACCCGCGACCCAGCGGTGGAAGGCTAGTGGTAGCAGAATGTTAGACGCCTTAACCACTTGGCCACCGCGGCTCCTACAGGAAACGTTATGCATTAAATATCAACACAGTCACTCTTGATCCCAGCTTTCGGGCTTGCATTCAAATGTGTATAAGGGAGAGGACCATTCAATCCCTGATGAAGGGCTTAGCCCTAAAGCTTGTATCTATAGTGACAGTTGATGTTTATTTCACTGATTTGACTTTATTTCAAGATGTAGATATAAACCACAATCATCGCTCGTTGGATTATCTTTTAATGATCGCAGAAAGAGTACTTACACTACAGGTGATATATTTAGATCGCAAATCATGGTGTTCATCATGCGGTAAGATAATATTCGTTCGTTGCTGAAAGACACCTCGGAAAAATAAATACATATTTCACATTTTATATCAAGTTATTATGTACTTAATTATGTATGTCAGTTGAGTGACACTGTTAATAATTTCATTTATAAAGGAGGTTAATTTTCCCTTTATTTCGCGAATAAACCAATTTTTGGGATTTAAATCTTACACGAATATTATTTCCAAACACATTTTCTATCAATACATATATAGCATTCTTTCATTGATTTCAAATAGTTGCAAATCAAATCTGCAAACTACATTCGCGAAATTTAGTACTTGCGGAAAGAAATTGTTTTACAGTAAATGCTTTGGCGGTCTTTTCCGATACAACCAGAATCATCACATCATATAACAGGTTACAAAGAAGTGTAAATGATATAAATTATTTGGCATCGATGGGCATATACAGTAGTTAATGTTTCTAACAGTTCGGTCAAAATACAATATAAATTTATGGCAATTTGATGGAATGTCATGACATTACAATATTGTCTCATTGATAATACATTGATGACATCAGAACAATGTCTTGCTGGCAAAGCAGTGACCTCACCTGCTAAAAATACCAGGTTATGTATTCGTATAAAATTTGAAAAATGTCATCGATTTCAACACCCATAGGAATAGAGATATTAGACCATGATCTATAGGGTTTTTACTAATCCCAGTTGTGTCATTGAGACCCCACATCTTCCACGATTTCACATTAAGAAGTTCACGGTAAATGTAGGCCTAGTTCCTCCGAGGCTTTCCCGTACATTCGCCTTGTTCTGTCAGTAGTTGGGGACATCATCAATAATGAACCAATCACTGGATCACTGCTTGCCGATAAACGGATTGTTGTGAAAACGACAATGCTTGTAAACTACAATGGCATATGTAAGTGAGAGAATAGTGTTTCCTCAGAAGATTTTCTCAATATCTGCCATAAGATCCTCCTCCAATTTGTCATACGTAGGCGCTTTTCTAAAAGAGGAAAACATTAATATGAAATAATAACGAAAATGTTCCTGTATTCCCAAATAAATCTTTAAACTATAATTGATTCCCTAGCCCAAGGAAACTTACTGTGGATAAATTATTTTTCATGAAATATATTTTCTCGTATTTATTTGCAAGATGATTGCAATATACCCTAATACTCGACATACGTACTGTAAATATACAATTAATAATAAAAATGAAACCCTTGTATCCATCAATACATAATAAGGCATATTAGTCGGGATTTGAGACATACCTTGGAACTGATTGACGACCTGGCTCATAATAAGAGTCGGGGTCATGCACGTCGTCATAGGTCTGCCGTGACGTATACGGATCTGTTAAATCAAAATAAATTTACGTTTTTAATACATTACCTAAAACAAATTCTTGTTACAATGTATTGAGAAAAACGATGGACATTATCAATAGATATTCCTATGGTTAATTATACGTATATTTTTTCTTTACAATTACGCGACTTCAGATATGACTTTCAATTATTTTTCAATTGCACTTCGAGATAAATAGTTCCCAACAGTTATGCTGATAAGATATTTGTTTTGAAAAATACGTCTTATTTAATCATACCAGGAAATGACAGTATTTTATATAAAAAGTACGTATAAAATTATTTGTTTTAAAAATGTGATCAATACAATATCAAAAGAATTATGTTTGTCGGGAGGTAATTAACGCGATAAGGAGCCTGACTACATCATTCGCTATCTTTATCATTATTGATTAGGTTCACGCTGTTGGTACTACCAGTTCCGGTGAATAATTGATGATCAACCCACCATAATTGTTATTCACCCTCTTCTGATATCTCACCAGCAGCCGACTTTTATTAATTATGCAAAACCTCGGCACCTATGCCCCACGTTACTTGCTTATATCTGTTGATCTGGCTTTCTGAAGCTTACATACACAGAGTAACCAACAGTACAGGTATTTTCATCGAACTTATGAGAAGCTTAACGATACTAAACGCCTTCTATAACGCCTGTATTTAATGCTAAATACAAATATCAAAAGTGAACGAGTGTCTCAAAGAATTCTGCATGATAACGTGTAATCATGAAATAATTTGAAACTTTTGAACATTTGTTTTGATTTATTTGTGAAAAAAAATAAGTCGAATACTCCTTAAGCTTACCATCCTGTTAGTTAAATGTGTCGGCTCGTGTTTGTTTCATAGGGAAAATATAACAAGGTTTCTACAATGTTGTAAAACAAGACGAACGGAGAGGCTTTATTCTTTGTATTTATCTACATGTCTTACGATGAAGATAATTTAACATTTAATATCAACAGACGGGTTGCTTAAGTATTAGACATAAATGAAATACATATATTTGTGTTATGTTTTAGAGATATCTATACATGATATATAAAGATCTCTAAAATACATTGAGATGTCTTTAAATGAATTAAAGATGTCTCAGAATTTGGTAATGAATAGATATATCTCTAAACGTAATTCTGATACCAGTTATCTCGTATAATTACGACTATGTTATATCTCTAATCGTAATCTCTGATACCAGTTATCTCGTATGATTACGACTATGTTATATCTTGCAACGTAATTTTTATACCAGTTATCTCGTATAATTACGACCATGTTACATATCTCCAAACGTTATTCTTATACCAGTTATCTCTAATAATTACGACTATGTTATATCTCTAAACGTAATTCTGATACCATATATGTCGTATAATTACGACCATGTTATATCTCTAAACGTTATTCTGATACCAGTTATCTCGTATAATTACGACTATGTTATATCTCTAAACGTAATTCTGATATCAGTTATCTCGTATAATTACGACTATGTTACATACGTTAATTACTTATAAGATATCTCTTGGGAAATGTCATAAAGTATATGAGACATGGCTTTAAGGTATTAATACATCAATGGGAATGCTTTTGTACATCATACTTCACCCGCTATTGCAATATAAATTATAGACAGGAACCATTTTACGTTATCAGATGAATAACAGAGATGTGCAACGAATAGCACCATTTTTTCTTTTATTTTGTATAACATCAATAGTCCATTGTTACATGCGAGATAAGTTATCGATTATGGACTTTTATTGAGGTGAATATTGGGTTTTATAAACCTGAGAATCTGGTATTAACCGAAACGAAGACCAAGTTTACGACGGAATGTGTTTTAACGTACATAGGTGAAGCATTCGAATTAAAGAATTTTTAAACTCGTTTCCTATTCCATATGACTTTTAGTCACTCGCTTAAGCTCATTCCATTTAAAACCAAAGTAACGATAACAACTTTGATATCCTCTGTTCACGATAATATTAATGGCAAGATGTGTTTGTTTACAACTTACCCGGTGTCATGTCAAAAATATCTCTTCTCGGTGGCTTTAAAGAGAAAAGAAGAAAACATTCAGTCTCATTCAAATTTCCGCGTCTGTTAACGTTAGGAAATGTTATTTTCATTTTCTATCTTAGTATAAGTGTATCAATGCTTTTGCCACAGGTATGTGTATTCTGATAGTTTCTAAGTTTTCAAATTCAAATAAGAGGCAGTTGGGACGCATTAAATTTGGTACAGATGTTTTTTCTTCCCTAAACCAAGCGCTTTTCGTTTGTGCGTATTATATAAAGAAAAGTGGAAAATTTCCTTAAATATTTGCAATTAGAACCTTTTGCCTATTTATAGACTGACGTGAACATGTTAAATAAAGCAATGTAAGCATGCTTACTGTAAAGCTGGTCATTTTAGCGATCACCAAAGATAGAGCGAAGTTATCTTGTTACATCAATGGAAAATAAATCCTTTTACCCAAACACAAAAAACTGCGAAATATTAGCCCGGCAAAACCAAAGAACGACACAGTATTTTCTCTCATAACAATAGTATGTCTCATTCAGCTGATGTGCTCTAGAGCACTACACATAAAACATGCTTATAAAGAATAAGATAGGGAACTTTGATGTTTAACAATAGCGCGTCGAAAATCTTCGTTTGATGCCAATAATAGCGAAATAGTTCTGCAGTTAAAGAGTAAGACGAACAATATGAACATTAGTGTCAACTTTAGTACATGTACTTATGTATGAAACACCTTAACCTTTATGGTATCATCACATGCATTTTTTCCAAGTCTACAATTTTGGGGCGAAGATTGGTACATAGGTTAGAAGATGTGAGGGATTTACTCACTGGAGCCGTTTTGTTAGCTGCTTTAAACTTAGTATAGTCGAATTCTCCGGAGTCATCCTGAAACATCAAAATAAAGTAGTTATATGATAGTATGATAACATTATTTACTTGTATCGTATCATCAATAATATTGTATGTATCGATTGATGTGAATTTGGATTGTGTCATACATTTCTCATTCAATGTTATTCTTGCAATCTTTTGTTAAGATTGGTTTTTGTTTGGTTTAAAGAGTTTAGCGTCATATCTACAGCTAAGGTCATTAAAGGATGTGTGTCATGTAGGCATGATAGTTGGAGGCGGCATGTTGATGTATTTGACCCCTTTCGATAGTCCAGATCTGACGCCGACTTAGAGTGCTACCTCACTCTAAATTAAAAAACAACATGCTTAAGGCACCCAGCAATATTGTTAGGAGTTGATTATAAGGATATTGAGGTTTAAATCCAGATGTATCCATCTTGCTCTTCTACAGGGATATACCTAATTAAAGCTATTACTTTCTTCTGGTAACTGATCAGGAGAAATGTTATATACAATTCTAATCAGAAGACCGGTTACCTTCATCAACTTCCAAAGCGCGTTCGTATATATTCACAGTATTTATATTAGATAACTCACCATTCCTAAATCATTGCTCTCATGGTTAACTAACCCTATCGGATCCAGATCACTTTTAAAAAATCGATGTCATGAAGCTGTCCTAACCTGGTCATTTTACGATACCCATTTATTGCAGTTTGAATTAATATTTCATGGATAAAGTCGATACATTGATTTATGAACTGAAAAAAAATGTTGACCGAGGGCACGGTTCAACTGCGCTGAATACTTGAATTGGTGTATTATTTTCAAAGTTAAATACAATTTATGCGAAGTAGATATGATCTGATCGCAATCTTAATTTAATCATTAGAAATGTTATGCGCTTCAAATAGATTCTATTTTAACTGTCAAACTGTCGTGTGGCTACTAGAACCAGCCATAACACAAAATATATGAATAATGATAAAGAGTAGTAATCAAAATATCAGGTAACTCAAAAATTGATATTATGTTCGTGTGCATTAATTATAAATGAATACAGCAGAGTTTATAAAAATGTATCAGGGTTATACAAAACAATTCTGAATTCCTTTTCATTGTCAAAACAAGATGTAGGACCAGAAAATATGAATCCCTCTGGATTTATACATATATATCTCTGTATTGACTGATGTTTGCTTGTCGTTGTAATAAAACATTCATTTGAAATACGATTATTATTGTTTGAACAGTTTGACAGATTTGAATTCTCGAGGTTTGCGGTCCATGCTGAATAAATAATCCACATTGCACAAACGGCTACATTTGACATGAACTGTTTACATATACTTGAATAATGTATAAAGGCTGCAGAAGGAAAACAAGAAGACATGATTTTTTTTTTAAACAAATATATTTTCTGTCTGTTATGACTGTAAATAGTTCCATGAAAAGAAAAAAAAACAAGGGAAAAAAAGAACAACAGTAAAAGTATAACACATCTATTTTATAGAGATCTGTTTTTCAGAAATGAATTTGAATCAGGTATTATTGATATGGGCTAGTCGGATTAAGATAAATGGAAGGTTTATATCATCACAATATTCGAAAGGTATCATCGGATTGAAAGTCTTTCCAATGCAATTTCACAAACTTTCCAGTAATGTATCGTACAAAAATATTCGTAAAAAAGCTACTGACATACTATTGTTTGTACATTATTTTATATCAAGAAAGGCGGATGGATGTTTCGTAAACACAGATAGAGTGAAACTGTTAAATGTAGGAATGTGGTCATTTGAGATCTAGTGATAACTTTATTATTACATTCCGCGAATATTTTTAACAGCATTGTGTTCATGTTATCTATTTATTCAACATCATCACCTAACATTCCTTATCACTACGATACTTTTCAAATATACTCGTCATTCGCTAAACAATTTATCAATAATTCTCTTCAAGTTTCGTTTAATTTATTTCAATTTTACTTTTCATTTTTACGATATATTTATACCCCTTCGTGAGCCTCCCGAAGTCGAAGTGGCTAAGTCTTTAAGGAGGGACCCCACTCGTCAATATTGATATTGACAGACTATGGACCTAGATATAGCCTTTTGTACAAACTAGCCTGTGGTACAAGAAGTATTGCAGTATGGACTCACTTTCATAGCATAGTCAACTTAACCCTGTCAAACACCAGGAGGCGAAATCAGCAAATAGCATTGTCATTTTAACTCTGTCAAAGAATCGTAAGGCGAATTCAATATGAAGCATTCTCAACTTAACTCCGTCAAAACACCCAAAGGCGATATCAGTATATATGGCATTGCCATCTTAACTTTTTCATAACACTTTATTGTGAAATCAATATGTAGCATTGTCAGCTTAATCCCGTCAAAACACCCGGAGGCGAAATCAGTATATAGCATTTTCAACTTAACGACCTCAACACAACAGAAATGGAACTATTTCATTAGCGTTGTTAACTTAAATCTATCAAAAAATTCGAATGAGAAATCAAGGTTTGGAAAAATTCTTCTCATAAAGACATAACTAGTACTTCTAAGTAATCTTTAGTATGTCACTCATTGGTAAACTATACATTTCTCCACATCCGCCATGATTTATATTGCCACACTATGGGAGAGTTAATATCAGGTGCTTACATTCTTTGAACACATGATCAAGAATGAAAGCAAACCTTGGCTTATAATATTTACTTTCTTCCTTTCGTTTCTAATTTAAAATATGTTTGCTTGGATTATGTTATATTTGTATTATAACAAAGAATGACGTAACTGTTTCATTTTGAAAGCACTTACCAAGGTTGTGGAATAAAGATTTTCCAAAAACAACTTAAAAAGCACTCATTAGTTCTCAAACATCAAACCTCATAATACGATACAGTTTGGCAGTATCAATAAAGCTAGGTATTCATTGGAAAAGGAACTCAACTATATGCATCATAAAATGTTGTGTTTGTATTGTCTTTTGGAGTGAATTAGAAGTAAATGGTACAACAGGGCCACCAAACAAGGACAGATTTGCAACTCAAGCTCGATTGGAATAAAAAAAAAATAAGAGCGGGAACCGAGAAGAATTCACAATATAAGGAAGAACATCATGCATCACCAGCAGAAAAGTTGAGAGCTAAACTAGGTAATCTGAAAGGGTACGTTTTGTGAAATACATGTATCCGTCAAATCCAATGAAATTTAGTTATATATATATAATAACATGGTAGCAGAAGTAATAGATATGGTATCATTGTTTAAAACAATCACTGATGTTCTGGAAACACGCAATGAATATCTTTTTATGAATGTAATGGAAAATTTGTAACCAATAACATGAATATCATCCATGGCAATATTGCTAACAAAGGTGATTCAAAGAAGATAATTTATCGAATAACTCATGAACTACCATTTTAGTGTTATACGGATAACACATCGATGATATTAGCAAAATACTTAAAATTCAAGATAAAATTTAATTTTGTATTTTGTTATGTATATACAGTTGAAATTAATAAAAGTAATAAAACAAATAAGTTTTAAGTGTTTACTTTGGGAAATGGTCAGTGAATCCAATTAACAATATATCTGTCAATACCCACATATTTTATTAGGTTCGATAATTAAATGGAAACTTTGGTCATCAATGTGTAATACAGAATTAAAAATCTCTGTTGTAAAAAAGGTAAAATACACGAAGACATGAAAAATTGATACAAAAGTAAGAACCCAGGAAACATTCAGATGTTATCTTATCTTAACTTTGTAAAAAAAAAATTTTTATGTAATATAATATTTTGTTACAAAATTAAAAAAAATCCGAATCAAAATCAATTTGGGACTCAAGTCACAGAACACAGAGATTCACGTTAACAGGAATGAAAGGAGATTCAAGTCATGAGACCGGCACTTTGTTTGCATATGGAAAATAAGAGTTAATTTCTGGAGCGTCACAGTTATGAACCGAGACTATCTTGGTCATGTGCAACAAAAGTTAAGTGTGAGTGCCTGCCTGATGACCCCGCGAGAAAAGCTTATGTCTCTAACATGTCACCTATTAGCTCTGATATTAACTTCTATATATAAAATATTCGTGCAAAATATTGTGTTGTAAGAAGAAATGGACAAGAATGTCACGTCATTTGAGAATCTAGGTATAAAATCATTCAACAAAAACTATGGTCTATTAGGTGTGTCATAAATTCACCCATCGTGTTAGGTTTAAATCCAAAACAGCAATTGGTGTTATTACTTTAAGTCCGCATTAAGGCTAATCAAATACAGGGATTCTTATATCAATACAGAATGGATTTGTCGTATATCTCAGGGTAGGGTTTGGGGATGTGAATCTAATCTATAAAAATAGATTTTTTAGCGAACACTTTAAATCGAGACTTTATTTGAAATAAATGCTAAAACTAGAAGTCGCAAAAAGAATGATTTTTTTTTTAATTGAAGGCTGAATTCACAAAATTATCCAGTTAATCCGAAAGAAAATATCCGCAAAAAACGGATATCCGGATTGACAAACAATATCGTTTGCATATACTTTTTGTTCTGCCAAATACTTCTTTTGCATACATTGATTTTCTCCCGGATTCCGATTGTCGGAAAAATATTTCGTATACAAAACTACAAAAGTAGGAATTGATATTTCATTTTTCTGGAAGAATCGTGATTCGGAGATATATAGAATCTCTCTTTACGAGATTCTTTTGTATCAATTAACACATTGCAACACTAATTACTGATGATTTAACACTAGAGTGTAGCAAAGTTCATTATATACATCAGAATACGTCCTTGAAAAGTAATTATATATATATATATATATGTTAGGTCAACAGTATATGCACATATAGATAACGTTATAGTAATGGATACCACAGAAAAAAAGATATGGGCAAAGATCTCGCATAAATGGGGTAAGTTACAATGGCCATATGATTAGTCATCTAATGATACCAAACCAATCCATAAATCACCTTTCAGTGGCCTGATGTATACCATTGCATGTGTAATTCATTAACACATATGTCAGCTATACGAAATAAGACATGCATTCCCACACACCCGTGCAAAACCATGGCAGGAATAGTTGTCTAATTATATAAAAAGAGTTACTAAGCTTTACGTTGTAAATAAACTGCTTCAAATTTATCACCTGTGTTACGCCACGATTTCTCGCCACTAATACAATTTCTCGCCACTAACACTTGCATATATTGCTGCTTTCACAACACCTTTTCTCATCCCTGCACGAGAAATCTTATCAGGAGTAAGCGTTTTGGCCGTTAGCACGCGAAAACACTTAAGTCGATTTGGGGTGATTGTGATATATTTGACATCCTTAAGTAGATAATACATAAGTTAACTCATTTGTTACCTAACATAGATACACAAATATATTCTGTAACTCGTGCCCTGTCTGGGCCTCGATCTCCATTGTGAGATATCGTATCATGTGCGAAATCGAGGCATAACTCAAGTTTCAGACCTGAAAAGGAAACGATAGAAGACGTGATGTTCTAAAGAAAAAGCTTTATGACACCAAACATCAATATACAAAGGAGAAATTGCGTATTGCATAAAAACATATCCATCACATTCTTCACTTCCCTCTCTTTACTCGATATTTTATTCAATGAAATTCGATCATACCCAAGACACTTTGGTATAGTCCGACCACAATGACCTGTCGTGTTGACCTTCGATTACCATATTGATTGCAGGCGAGTCAATTATCATACAGGGAGCATAGGTTAATTTATCGTTACAGGCGAAACTGTTGTCTTGTCTCAGGCAGTCTTTACTGTACTCGGTACACAGATGAACATATCTGAAATTGACTGCATTTGCCCAATATGAATATTCCACGTAAAGGTCAAGGTGACAGGTCGTTTTGGTCCGACTTTATATTTGGCTCAACAGACATATAAGCATTTGACATTTGACATTAGAAAGACGTTGTTTAATTTCGGGGGAGGGGGATATGACATTTGTAAGACTTTGTGTTAATGGGTATTAATGTGAATTAATCGTGATTTTAGTTTATATTATGAACATTTTTAATTGTATTTACATTATATGAATTAATATATATTATATAGATTATGTATAACCGTTAGATGAAAGTGACGTTGAAAAGAAATTTTGTTACGTGAGTTAACAAATTAGGGCTGTCACAATATATCGCGAAACTGGAATATCGTAATACACAGGTACATTGAATCGTATCGCATAACAGAAATGAAATTCGCTATATCACAATATTATTCAAAAGTTCATTATTATATCTATTTTGTGTCTGCTTGATGTTTTAACTTTGCATTTTCTAACAGATATTTCAATAACCATAATCAGTTTATTCCGTCTTTGCGTATTGCAGAGTTATCTTCTCTTCTCTTGAGATTAGGTATTGATTGTTACGTCATTTGTTTGTGAGAGTAACGTCATCAATTTTTGAGAAAACGACGTAATTTTCTCACACGAACCTATGACGTAACAATCAATACCTGCTATCAGGAGAAGATAACTCTGCAATACGCAAAGACGGAATACGTACTGGTGGGAATAAGTTGAAATGTTTGAATTGATGGTTGGTTAAATCTTAAATCTGTGTGATCCATATAACAAATGGCTCAGTTTGATACCATTCTGATAACAGTTTCTTGTCTTATTAAGAACCATTTTTCTTTTACGATTTATCGGGATACGTATCCAAATACTATCCTTCTGTATTGCAACATATCGTGATACACTCCAAGCATACTGTGACGCCCTACTATTAATGTGTTTCCTCGAGATACTTTATTTCAAAATGAAAACTTTCTGTCTTTTTTCAACGATTTCAAATTTGAAGTAACGATGACTCAGGCAGGAATTGAAATGTGATTGTGGCATGTTTGAAAATGACAACAAGTGAACAATGCAACTGAGTAACTACAAAACAACGTATAATTAAAAATGAAATTCATATGAATACCTCAGCTATTTCCTCGGTCTGAATGAAAAAAGAAAACATGATAGTTGAACATTTGAAATTAATGAATGGAGGAATGAAATGATTTATTTAAACAATTGTTTTTGGATTTTGAATAAAAGAACGAATGGTTTGATGACAAATATATGCTTATTTTCGTTTTGCTTCTTAAATGTTGATAATGAAAAATTCTAAATGATTGCAAGAGTATAAATGTAAAACAACATTCGCGTTTAATCCCCATATGATTAATTAAGGAAACATACTATAACATGATACAAGTAAGTAACAAACTTATAAATAATCGAATGATAGTGCCTTGTGCATTGAGTTCCCTTACTGTTCCTTTGTTTACACAAATGAAACACTAAAATGCAATTTTAAAATGAATAATATGAAGACAAATATATGAAAATGTGGTCTACCTGATTCTCCTCTGCTGGCTAAATGGGAAATGAGAAAAAATAACAGAATGAGTACATGAAAAATAGTATACAATAGTAAAAGCTATGAAAAATGCATCTTTTGAAAATACATTCCTGTTAAAAATGGAACACTAGTAATGAAAGTCTAAATGAATGCAAGAGTATAAATGTAAAACATTATTCGCGTGTAATCCACATATGATTAATTAAGGAAACATACTATATCAACAATGAAAGGAAACTATATAAGAGTTCCAAACCGTGAAACATAACATATCTGGGCATAATGAATGGTATTATGAAACTGATTAACTAATTGATGACCGAAGTAGATTCTGTACATTGATTAGTACATTGATAAAACACCGAATAATAAGTTTATCCCATACAAGTTATTTTTGAGGAAAATAACTCTTATATAAATCTTAATTATAATGCACAACGTAGCACATATATATCCTTAAATAATAATCAATAAAACGACCAACTTCATGAAAATAATTAACAGCTTAATAGTAAGTGGGTCAGTCATAGTTCATCGAAACATATTTAAGTAGAAAGTCGTCTTATACAGAGGCATTTTCAAACCGTAGGGTAGTTACAGTAAACTGAAACGCATGTCGAGCTTGGAATGCAAGGTGTACTGAGATATACCCTAAGTAGGAGAATAATACTTTATTGAAAAAAGTCCCAATTTGGGATTTCACGGTATTCTGAGACATACGGATTTTTTTGTTCTACTTCTGTAGCTAAATAAAACATGCGCATTGTATTGATGTGTTAATTGCTAACCAAACGACACTGTATACATTTAGTACAGAAAATTTCCCATTTTAGATTATATCCTCTGCTGATTAATTATCAATTTAACAGTAACATAATGATAAAAAATGGTTAAAAAAATAGGAAAAATGGAAGCAAATGTAAACAAAAAGTGTATATAATTTAAATGAAAATTGAAAGGCATTAAATATCTATCATTTTACAGTGATGAAAATTTACAGAATTACACACGACATTTATATTCATGTTTGAATGGTTGACTTTAAAATGATTTTTCGCCATGTATTGTATATATACCATGTAATCTCACTCTTTAATAGCGCTTTGTAACAGGCAATGTTTCTATTGTGATTGGCCAGAAAAAGCGAATGGAATGTTGTTGACTGAAACCTAACCCCATCAGTAATGCTTTAAAAAACATCAAATCTATGTATTAAAAATGAAAAATGACAACCCTTAAAATCAACCTTTTGGCCTCGTTATATCTCTTTATCAGTATTAGTGTTATGGGATTTTACAAGTCTGTTTTCCCTATCAGGTGTGTCTCTGCTTACATCTACCAAAAAAAATATCAACATTCCTGACCCCTGACAACTCCATAGTCAGAATGGCCCCCTCTGCAAACTTTAGTCCCCTTTTTGTTCCACCTCGTGCAAAGAAACGATTTATTATCGTAAAGAGGCCTTACCTATATATCTATATACTTAGTATCTACAGAAATTCCATGGAAATATTTACAGATATAAAACGGAAATATTTACATGTACTTAATACATATATACATAATTACACATATCGATTTTCATAATAGAGCTGATACTATTAAACGTAATACATTGAACAATGAAATATATGTCAACCGCGTGCTCATATTTGGAATGGATGCCTGTGATGTATCAATAAGCCTTCTGGTTGCGTTATGAAGTAAATGAGATAAATACGCATTGTTTTTTTTAAAACAATGATGAATGTGCTCCTAGTCCATACGCCTGTTTTAGGAATCGACTAATTTGTCCCTTGTCCAAACATCTGTTTTAGGAATCGACTAGATTGGAAATAATTTGAAACCTTGAACACGTCACCTTGTAAAAGACTTGGAGATGATCAGGTGAAGTGGCAGGCCACTTTAAAGGCTCAATCTAACGTTGATCATTATAACGTCAGTGAAGGTAATTAGGACATATAAGTGTTTGTACAGGGTGTGCTGGGGTCTAGTTAACTATGTACAGAGATAACTCAAACTGTGGCCTCAATTATGGAGGTTGACTTGTAATGTTTGCTTTACATAGACACATATATCAACCCTTCCCATTCAGGTGTAGTAAGTAAGATTTAGACCAACGCTACGCTCTCCATTCAAAATTTTCTTTCGACCTATCATATCAGTTGTATCAATTAAATCAAGCCCGTTTATCAAGCCTAGGCCCATTTTACTTGCTTTTCATTAAATTATTTTTAATTCACCTTGAAATGAATATATGTTTGTCAAAAATAGCAATCAATTCGAAATCAATAAAAATAATGCTTTAAATTCCAAAATAGTCCAGTCATAAATAAATATATCATTTCTTATTTCTGTAAGCTGCTATGTAATTTACTGGGTTTTCATTAAATTATTTTTAATTCACTTTAAAATTTAAATATGAATTTTGAAACTGTTTTTCAAAAATAACTGTCAATGTGAAATTAATAAAAATAATGCTTATAATTTCAAAATATTTCAGTCGTAAAAAGATATATCATTTCTTATTTCTATTAGCTGTTATGTAATAATGTTTGTGTTTACGTGCTATTAACACCTATGGTCATTTAAGGACGTGCTAGGTTTTGGTAGTTTGTGTTTACGTCCTATTAACAGCTATGGTCATTTTAGGACGTGCTAGGTTTTGGTAGTTTGTGTTTTACGTCCTATTAACAGCTATGGACATTTAAGGACGTGCTAGGTTTTAGTGGTTTGTGTTTAAGGCCTATTAACAGCTATGGTCATTTAAGGACGTGCTAGATTTTTGTGGTTTGTGTTTACGTCCTATTAACAGCTATGGTCATTGAAGGACGTGCTAGATTTTGGTGGTTTGTGTTTACGTCCTATTAACAGCTATGGTCATTGAAGGACGTGCTAGATTTTGGTGGTTTGTGTTTACGTCCTATTAACAGCTATGGTCATTTAAGTACGTGCTAGGTTTTAGTGGTTTGTGTTTAAGACCGATTAACAGCTATGGTCATTTAAGGACGTGCTAGGCTTTGGTGGTTTGTGTTTACGTCCTATTAACAGCTATGGTCATTGAAGGACGTGCTAGATTTTGGTGGTTTGTGTTTACGTCCTATTAACAGCTATGGTCATTTTAGGACGTGCTAGGCTTTGGTGGTTTGTGTTTACGTCCTATTAACAGCTATGGTCATTTTAGGACGTGCTAGGCTTTGGTGGTTTGTGTTTACGTCCTATTAACAGCTATGGTCATTGAAGGACGTGCTAGATTTTGGTGGTTTGTGTTTACGTCCTATTAACAGCTATGGTCATTTAAGGACGTGCTAGGTTTTGGTGGTTTGTGTTTACGTCCTATTAACAACTATGGTTATTTAAGGACTTGCCAGATTTTGATGGTGGAGGCAAGCCGGAGTTCCCGGAGAAAAAACACCGACCTACAGCAGTACCTGGCGAATGCCCCACGTAGGTCTCGAACCCGCGACCCAGTGGTGAAGGGCTAGTGGTAGCAGAACAGTGGCGTCGCAAACCATTTTTCGGATTGTATGCTTACAGATGGGTTGAGCGTCCCAGGCGCGTAGCGCCGGAGGAGGCGGAGGGTACGTATGCAAGGCAAAAAATCTACTAGGCCTTAGAAGCAATCTCCCGTGCTCTGGGAACTCCTTTTAGACTGATTATTAACAAGTAAAACCCGACTTATTATATGAATATTATTAAATTTTGAACTTCTCTAAGTATTTTATTTACATTAACCTTCGAGAATTGTCAATGTGTATAGACATATCATAAGAACACTATTTTATCAGACTTCACTTTTTAAAAAGATATTTTTTAATTTCTTTCCTATTTTATGCCTATACGGACGGTCCATATTTATCATAAAAAAGAAATTAATAAAGATAAATGTTTAAAAACAATCTTGAAAATTTTAGTGTAAGCTTGGGCATATAAGCATAACAACGCCTTAACCTCTTGGCCTCCACGGCCCCTACATGGATTACTCGTTATTTTTGTTTTACAATATGTCAATGTTAACTGCGGTTTATATCTATCTTTTATATTTCACTGTGCGTTATAAATAATCAACCCAGACTATCATACAGTTATAGGTAGAATTACTCATTGTGCTATTTCAAAAAACTAACTTAAACTAAATATGAAGTCGGTTTTATATCACATTTGTATTATATTTAACAAGTGCATGGAATAACGGCTACTGTTCATGAAAAGGGATTGCGTTTGTTTAGTGTAATCAATTTTCAAAGCCCTTTTTTGTGTGCGTGTTCTTTCAAATCGCTTCGGAAAACAATGCAATTCTAACTGTTTTAGTCGACTCTATTTTCGGAAAAAACAACAACCTTTATTTACTCAGAAAGAGCGAATAGATTACAATATTAATTTCTATTGAATAAAGATTATTAACATTTTTTTCCCTTATTTACAATGTTATCAGTTTTGCATATATTTTGAATGAAAATAAATATTGTATACTCAACGGTAATAATGCACATGTTAAGGATCCCTGTACCACTGTCTAAGCTGTAACTTTGCACAGAAAAATGTTGTTGTTTTTCTGGCATGACTATAGCTTTGATAATGTTCTTTAAAGAAAACCTTACTTCGGGTTGTTTTATGAGAAAAAGAATATACAGATGGATAATCAAAAGATAATAACAGTGTTTTGAGTGTAGAAGTTCAGCGTTGCGCAAGACCAGGGTTCGAACCACGGACATCAGGTGTTACCTGTATACTGTTGTTTAAATCAACTGATCTATCTGGTCAATTATGGTAATCTTTTAACGTATTCTGTTACAGTTATATAATAATAATGATAATAATAATTCGAGGTTCTTATATACCGCTTTATCACAACAATAGTTCGTACGTCGTCTCAAAGCGGTTCACATGTTATTATCCGTTGTTATAGGGCCTTTGCCTTTGCAACCAGCCGATATCTTTCTCAACTCCTTGGGGAGCATACAGCCGGGGCTGCCATTTCTAGCACTGCCCAACCACGTACTCATTTACAGCT